GTTGTTGTTGTTGTTGTACTCGCAGTAGTAGTTGTTGTTGATGATGTCGTCGTTGTTGTTGTCGTTCGCGTAGGGCCTAGAATCTGGAAGTTGCCTTTGTTTGTGTTTGTTTACTTTGGACAACTATGTCAAGCCAATGCTGTGACATGTGAGTAATGCAATGCACAATTCAGCATTGCTTGCATCATCAAAATGGGTGTCAATTTAATATGCATTTTGGCATTTGTCAAGCATTAGTAAATAGTGGGCCTGAAGAGGTTGAGCATGGTAGAAATGGTTTGTTTGCCCATGTTTTTCACCAAGCTTGGGCGTGATCGTGCTTGCAAAAAGGTTGTAGGTCCTGGCTGTGCAAAAAAAGAACGGACACCGCTTGGAGGGAGATGGCATCCCTTGTCGGCAATATGAGCTAGAAATTGTGAACACTGACAATAAAGGCAATCGTGCGCATGAGATAGTAATTGGAAGTTGCATCTCTATGTCAATGTGGGAGTCCTTCCCCGCCAGGAGTATCGCCCTGGTGTTTTTTTGAACCTGTCCTAGCTCATGAGGGATCATTATGACTGCTTTCAAGATGTTTAACAAGTCGAGATTGATGTTTCTTGTTGTCGTGTATACAGTCTTATACTATGTATGTTTACAATGATGACATGGTAGTTGCTCACATCACATAAGAGGGCTTTAAACTCGAGACTTATTTGGTGAGAAGTGAGAACACAAGTATACGGAAGCCCATCTTGCGGGTGGGTCCAAGGTGGGTAGTACAATTTATGAAATCACAAGAATACCAGAATACCTTAGTTTTTGGTGTCCAATAGAAAAGAGACAAGGAGAAACCGTTTTCCAGGTCGAGAGGGATTTGGTCCATAAGCATAGAACACCATGTTCATCCGATTTCTTTGTGTTACTTGACTTATTCTCCATTCACTCAAGTTCATCCAGCACTCAAGCTACAGTGGACAGTGAGGAAGGAGGTCTTTCTTTCGGAGTGGCATCGTATGATATATGGCCATACCATCAGTAACACCAGGGAGGATGTGAATCGCCGGGCATCGCCGTAGCGCATCGCCGGACGAATTTCGGTGTAGGAGCTCGCCCGTGAGCTCCGGGAATGAGCCTCGGTCCATCGGTCGGGTCGGAGGTGGAGGTGAAGGGGATCCACCCTAGTAGCTTTTTGCTCTTAGTAGTACGGCCAGGAGCCCCTAGTAGCGTCCTTGCTCCTAGTAGCGATGCCAGGAGCCCCTAGTAGATTCTTGTTACTACTTCAAATGAAGTACAGCATGGGATGACGTTTTTCTCAAACATGGGAAGAGGAGTTCTCTTGTTCGTCGGCCCTGGCAGGGACAGATACTTATAGTTGGAAAACCCTTCGCCCCTAAAGAGACAACAGGCCAAAATTCACATTTTGAGGACGTACTCATGAGAGTATCTCTTAAGACGATTTCCTGAAAAATTGCTGGGACTGAAGTCTCAAGGCTGTGCGGCTTCAGTAGCGGGACGTGCCAACTCCGGGATGTTCCATACGAAAAGGATGCAGATGCCGTTCCATGCCTTGGTGGGTATTTTGGATTGTGCCATGTGCCTCTCCAGGCTCTTAAGATCAGAAGTGTTGACATGCTGAAACTGGGGGACGACCAGTTTCTGAAGTCCTCTTCAAGATGATACGAACATGGAGAAACTCCATGTTTCTCCTGATGGATTCTGTGAAACAAGACCCCAGAAAGAACAAGTTGTATGTCCTTCTCATCCCGACTCTGCTCCTGACTCTTTCATTCAAATCTCGCCACCGAAGTCCTTGGCCCGGCACTCCACAACCAGACTACTCCCCTTCTTCACCCAGGCCGCTTCGCGCTGGTGGGCTCCTCCAGTCAGCTCCGAGCGCGGCAAAGCGCCCAGCTGCTGTCCGCGGAGCGAAACGACGTTTCAACAGCGGAAGCTTTGGTTGGCACTCGGGTTTTAGGGTTTAGGGCACTGAAGAGGACCAACTGGTGTCGTGTCGCTGGACTTTTGGCAGGGTGGTGGTTGCTTGATGTTGGAGATGTTTGTTCTTCAGCCCCTGCTTCTCATTTCATGTGCTGAGAATCTGCATGCCCGGTGATCAGTCCAAGGAAGTTCTGGAGAATCTGCATGAGATGCGCTATGGGCACCTAGAAGCCAGCCTGCATCAGGGTTGAATCGTGGCTGGATTTGAAGACCTGGGGTTGCCATTTTTTTTGTTTCACAGAGCTGTTTCAAAAAAAATCCCCAGTGCTATTTCGAAAAGATTTCCAAAATCTCCCAGAAACTATTTCATATTGTTTCATATCGACTTGCCTGGAGTTGTGTGATATGTTTCAAACCTCCAATCAGGCCAATGATTATGTTTGAAGACTTGTGCAAGTTCCTTGGGGCTGACAGTCCATTTTGAGAAAAACCAGGGACCAATGTGAGGGCAGGTAATGTGGTAGTGTGCGAAGAGATGTGTGTAGCCCTTGGAATCATAGGAAGCCTGTTGGCATTATGCAGGGTGTGGCAACAGGAACGAGAGTCCACCAACGAAGACATGCTCAGTTTCCTGGTGATACTGTGACTGATCATCCCAGCGTACCTGCGTTATGACCAGATATTTCCTACTTGGTCCTTGCTTGCTATTAGAACAAGGCTTTGTCCATTGCACTGGCTTTGCTGTAAAGAGTTGATGATTTTGCAGACTTGCACTCATCGCTCGGTCATCGTTCGATGTTTGGTTTGGAACTTTGATTCTTCTGCTACTGCTACTTTGGACCTTTGGAAATCTGCTTCTTTGCTGAGAGTCAGACGCCGCTCCACTTCATCCCTGTAATATAGGGCTCTTGAATTACTTAGGCAGCTTCAGGGCAAGTGAGATTCAGACCGCATGCACTTTATCGCGAGTGTGTGTGTGTGTTAGCCGATGTCGTGGACAAACCTAGACACGTTCTGAGTGCTTAATGCTGCTTCTGAATTCCCAACCCCAAGTTAACTTTTCTCATTGCTAGGCAAACTAGATCATTTTGAAAAGCATGAAACATCATAGACGAAAGAATGGGAGATCAAGATCAGATTGATTTGCTCACATCCCACAGGTCGATCAGTCAATGGGAATCAGGATGGACCGACCCACTCTCGTTGGATGGGTTTATGATGGTTAGGTTGCTTGAAGGAGTTGCATGATTGCGCCTAGAATGGAGTTGCGCCTGGAGTTTGTGTCTTTTTTCAGCCGTAGACGATCGCCGAATGTCATACACTCGCATAGACGGTCGCCGAAGAGTTTGAAAGGTGTCGATAGGACCCCCCAAAGAATCCCAAGATTCATTCTATGGACCTGGACAGGAGATCCATCGATCCGGGGGTGAATAAGCATAACCATTTGTCCATTTCCTGTTGTGTTTGGAGTGGTGAACTCCCAAACTCCATGAGAGAGTATGTAAACCCCATTTGAGCTGAGTTTTTTTGAGATGAAAGGGTTTATATAAGCATTGACATCATTGGTGGCTGATTAAAGGCTGGCGTAGGCATTCTGCTTGGGGGCGTAGACGCCCCGTAGGCATTTTGGCACAATGATTTGTCGTAGGCACTTGTCGTAGGCAGCATTTTCAATCAGGGTTTTCATGAAGACACTCTGCAGATATGAATTGTTTGTTTAGATGTCCTCTTGCTCTTGGCAACTACTTCACTTTTTCAACCCACTTTCAGAGACTAGTGACCTCAAACTCCTGAGATTTGTAGACCAATGGCCACGCCAAGCCTTCCACCTTCATGTGGCGTGCGGGCTTGTGTCAACCACCATAGATAGTCTAGATTTGTCTAGAGGCAGTTTTTTCGACGTTTTCATGTCGTACCCGTACCGTAGGCACAGCGTAGGTTCTCCGTAAGAATCCCGTAGGCGAAAATGCTTCGTGTGACCACTTGCCCATTTGTACTTCTCAAGTAGATTTGAGCGGATCCTTTCCGTCCACAACTCGTAGCTATGTACATAAACCTCATCCGAAGTCTTGTTTGCAGCGGCCCTTCGTTTTCAAGCTGCTGCTGCCAAGAAACGCCGCCAATCTGCACGCTTAAGGCAGACTGCGCAAGGTGGTAGCAGCAGCAGTGGTAGGTCAAATTCATCGTCAAGCTCCTCCTCATCACCTCATCGAAATGTTGAAAAGTTTGCTATCATGCTGTTTGCTTGTTTGCTTGCCCAAATCCCAAAAGTTCAAAGCCAATTCCCCAATGGTAGCGTAGGCGAAGCACACAACATTGAAACGAAACCTCACGTTCGTAGGTTTCTTTGTAGGCAAAGGTGAGGTGTATATGTGTGTCGTAGGCTCACACTGTGGAAACGTAGGCGAACCGTAGACTTTGCTGTAGGCATTTTTCAATGATAATAATAATAGCTGTTATATGTAAAAAAACACTGCTCATTTAGTCTTCGCATGTGCGTTTTGCCAGAAAGATGTTTCATCCACCGAAAACAACAACAAGAAGTATTGTGTTGCCGTTTTTGTGCATAGAAATCGATGTTTGTGCCATGCACGATAACGATAACAAAACAATAATGCATCGAACCTAAAACACCTACCTGTACACTGTACACTCACATGCAAGTGGCCCACTCACATGCAGATAGCTGTGCTACTCTGGAAAATTCCCTGTGCCAAGGCGTCATGTTTGCAAGTTCCACGCGGCACAAGTGCATGCATTGTACACAAATGTACACGAATTACAGTCAAAGCACTGTAAAACGACACGGACGAAGATAAGGCCCAAAGTGTTCAAGGGAACGTGGGGGGGTTAGACATCCACACATGTTTTTCAGGATAACCCGCTCTCAGTTTTTCGTTGAGCCCACTCCACTGCCTGAGTCGGGTCTACTCAGGATGTTTCGGTCCTCCATCCGCCAGCTCTTTAGAGACGGGGAAGTTTCTTGTGACAAGGGAATTGGATTTCCTATGATTTTCTGAACAGGGAAGGCCACTTTGAGCGAAAACACTCCTATCTCACTGCAATTTGGGGGACACGTCTTCGTTTTTTGGGGGTTCCAAAAAGCTCCATCCGCTTCGCCCCCCACGTCCTCGCGCGTGTTCAACGCCGTTCCCAGGAGGGTGCTCGCATTGCCGACGTGCGCTCGGAGATGATCTCGATCGCGGAGAGTTGGCGCCACGGGAAGCTCCAGGCGACGGCACCGGACTGTCGGGTCGCGCTTTTTCGAGCGGGGCGCGTGGTCCAGCGGGTCGCACGCCGAGTGTGCGGGCTAAACTAGATGGAAGAAGCGCTAGGCGGCGCTTGACGATGAAAAGCTGGGTGGTTTTATAAAGGTGGTTTTCCTAGATTCGTGGGAGACCAGGCAAAGTCTGGATATACTATATCGCAAAATGGGGTGTGTCAAGGAGCCATAATTGGGATGTAACCAAAGCCATGCGAAAGGTTTTCCAGGGGTGAATCAGATAGAGATTGATCATGAGCCAGGGAAAGACTTGCAAACATGTTTGGGACTTGAGCAGATAGAAGACCGGGACGGGCACATCAAACGGGCATAACATCGTCTTGAGTTCTGGCCCAGCGGGGCTCACCGTTGTCGGCGGCGTTTTTTCTTCGTCGCGACGCAAGGAACGCGTTGGAGGAGTGGAAGGTGAAAGCCCACAGGAGTGCTTTGGGTTTTGGCGTATTCTTGCATGAGGGCGGGAGAGTTGCAGGTTAAGTCATCTACACAAATGGATTCATCAGGCAGTTCCCGGCGCTTTCCCATTAGCTTGTTCGTCCATGTTGTTCAATGACAAGCTGAATCACCATGATGCTAAATCTGCCCTCAGGATTTGATTGAACGTGTGCTTGCTTCCCTTGGCAAAGTCTTGCGGCAGAACAGGGGGCAAAATGTGTTGCTGGTGTGCCATTCGTGGGTCAACAAGGCGCGATGACGGAAACATGTGAAACATGTCCCTTGTGTTGTGTTGAACGTGTGCCAGAAAGAAGTCTTGCAGGGCCACTTCTCATGGTGGACAAATTACAAATGTGTGGTTTATTCGTGAAAAGTTGAAGGAGTTGAAGAAAGAAATTGTACGTAGGGTAATAAGACCTACAATAGGAACAGCACGATTCTCCTTTTGACCCCATATGTGTGTTTTGTTTTAAAGGCTTCCCTGGCCTAATTTTGTTTCCAACACCTTGCCCCTTCCAAGAACTTCACAAGGCCTTGATCGCTCATGTGACTCCGGGATTGGGCTTGCAGAAGCTTTTGGATGTGCCACAGCGGAACTGTGCGGTGAATGTCTTGGACTACTGCTGTGAGGGCACGGATGCCGGTTCCTTCCAGGCGGGAGCGGCACTTCCAGCGGGAGCGCGCCGTGACTGGAGCCCACGTAAAAGCGACTTGTTGACTAAGTGGGTTTGGCAGAGCATTCCTCTTGCAGGTGGTGTTATCCAGCTGCCATAAGGTCAAACCAAAGACTGTGGGATAACATCACCTGTGCTGTGGGACCTCGCAGGTTCTGAGAGCTAGCTGGTCGGGTGGAACTGGAGCTGTATCATGTAAGAAGGTGACAGGGAAAGGGAGGTCATTTGCACGAACCAACTGCTATGGATTGAGCATCCGCGTCATTCAGAGCAGAAAAATATGCCCCGCGTGCTTGCGGAAGAAGTTCAAGAATAATACGTCAAAACCTGATAGCTCAATAATACAGTCCTGCATACAGTCCTCAACATGTGAATACGTCGAATGGAAGATCAACAGAATTGCCGGTGTTCAGAATGGACGGCCTGACCGCTGTGCGACCTCGGTGCAGGTTTTGGCTGTTGACCTTGTGGCCCAAAGCCGCGGCGCCGCGCGTTTCTGAGCCACCGGCCCTTTCGCAGGTTTCGGGGGCGTGGGCGGCAGAGGCTGCCAGAGTCGGACGCGTTCGACTAGCTCAGATCCCGACTGTGAAGACTCGTTTTTCCTCATCCTCGAGCCAGGCCTCGAAGAACGAAGCGGGGCCTGCGTCGAGTGGAAAGAAACACCGAAGCGAGGTACCAATTGAGAGGGTCTCCAAAGTGGTTACTTTGAGGTTGGAGGCCATCGCTATCAGGTTGGAGGCCATTGCTATTAGGATGGAGGGTCCCCAAAGTGGTTACTCTGACTCACATGAAAGCGCAAACTCTCCATTGATATCTATTGATAGTGCTAGTGAGGCGGAGGATTACGTCCTTTTGACCCTACTCGCGCTTCCCGCATCTAACTAAGACATCATTTATTCCTTTATGCGCAGTCAGTTCTTCTTTAACAGCTTGTCATACCATGTCATATCATGTCACGAGACAAACCCGTTGAGGGCAACGGCTCGGCCTCCCTCCGCCTGCCGACGACACAAGACGCGCCGCTCGGCTCGACTGCCTGAGGTGGGAATTTCAGGACGGACATCGTGAAAGACACCCTGAAGTGCGCAGATCCGGATCCGGAACCCGAACGGAACCGGAGAGTCGGAGGGAGGGATGATGTGTGATGGTTATCATTGGCACTTGCTAGGCCACGGCCCCACATGTTGATTCATTTATATTCATGTTGATCTTCGGTTCGTTCTTCTGGTTCTTCTGGTTCTGTTCGAGGTACCTTTGCCTAAAGCCTCTTTGTCCCTCAAGTGTTGTCGATAGGTGCCTGTGCCCAAAGGCCTTGTATACCTCAGTTTTGGCTATGCGCCTGTACTTTGCCTAAAGGATCCTAAAGGCATTCGGCACTTGCTTATTGTAGTTGGTGAGTGTTTGAACAAACCATTTGATCCCAGCTGGTCAAACATGGCCGACATCGCAGGCACAAAGAGCTCTATCCCACGATTGCCTTTGCCAATCGGAAAAGCAAGGTGGCCGTCCCATGGTGAAACCGGAGGGAAATGAACTGAAATTGATACTATTCAAAAGCAAGGCGCTGGGACCATCTGGGACACGGTTTTGGGGTCTATTTTGTGTCACACTTCCCCTGATTTGTTTTCGCCATAGCCATAGCCAGATGCGGCCATGGATGTTGAGCCACCAGAGCCCTGCATGATCAAGTCATGTGTTGCGTTTCACACGTGACCATTCCCACTGCTTTGAAGCCTGGTTTGATTGCGCACAGCAACACTGGGCGTGTGACAGCGAGAGCATGTGGACTGCGCTTAAAAAGCCCTACTCCAAAAATATAGATAAACGGTAAACGTAAACTTTTAAGGTTGGAGATAGATGTGTTTTAACTCTTCGTTTAGAAGCGGGCCCCCCAGCAGACTGGTGATACAGCAAGGCAGCGCTAGATTGGCGCTAAGTTGGCGCTAGGTTTCTTCATAACAGGATAAGCAAGCAGGAAAAAGAAGAAACAAGCAGAGAGCAGGAAAAAGAAGAAGCAAGACAAGAAAAAGGAAAAACAATCAAGAAGAAGAAGAAGAACGCACAACAAGAAGAAGACAAGCAAGGAGGAAAATAAAGAATCTGACAGGATAAAGAACGCTAGGCTGGCGCTAGATCCGTGCTAGCACCGCGCTAGATGACGGTCCATTTCTTGACCCTTCTGCCCATCCATCACCCAAATCTTTTGAGTCAACTGTCAACTCTTACGTCCTTCCTATGTCGTTCTGAAGATTTCTGAAAACTAAAAATTGGAAACAACTAAGTCTACCAGCAGCAGTAGCAGCAACAACAACAGCTCCAGCAGCTCAACAGGCCCCCTGAAAAGGTCCGCGCTAGACACCTCTCACAGCTTTTGCAGTTGACATGCTTTCATGTTTAACATCCGTGTCGTTTGAGTGTGGTTGGAGTTTAAAGGAGATTTAGAAGCGGGCCCCCCATGGAATTGTGAGTGCACCGTTTTGGGAAAAGACATTTTGGAAACCAACCATGTGTGTGTGCGCCAAACACACATCATGCAATTCAGTTCGGTCTTTGTATGAAATTCCATATTGAATTGGGTGAGAAGTTATCTTCCTCAATATGTGTGTGTGAACTGTTCCAGATGCTGAATCACCAGATGTTGCACTCCTGTGCTGTGACCGTTTTGATGTACAGTATTTCCCTTAGATTTGATTCATGAGTCAGCCCTGCCACACCGATGACACCCTTGGCCCTTGGCGTATGGGCTTAGTTGTGGAGGGGAACGACCCTTGAGGCTAGAGAACCCAGAGAAGTCCTGCTCTACAGATTGTCGCAAGTTGAATCCTAGAACCACCGAAGTATCCAGCTTTGATTTCTCACAACTTCGGTTTCTGTGGCCAATGTTGTGAGTGTGTCCAGGTGCGAATTGAGCTGATCCGCTCCTTGATGGCCGGGCGGAGATGGAGGGATCAGTCGAAGACCCATCCTCGAAGCGCTTGGGGATAGCGGTTCTCCCTACATCCCCCGACTCGTCCGGAAGATGGAAACGAGGCCCACGAAGTTTCGCTCGGCGTTGATCATGCTGGGATGCTATATTTGGCTGGGTTCCGTATCCCTGGGTATCGTCCATCCTTGAAATTTTTGAGGCTGTGGTTGATGAAGGTGGAAATGCACTGACTGAAAGAACCTTAAGAGAGATGCACTGGAAGATGATGCCATCCGCAATCCGCTTGCGGAGAAGCCTTACACATCCAAGATCCAGTTGAAGGGAGGGTCGCGTAGCCCTCATTTGTCCCAAAATCACATATTCGTGGCCTTTTTGACCAACCTTGTTTCTTTTGGCAGACAGTTCGACTCGATCATCCCTTTCATGTCCTTCAAGCACTACGTTATCACAGTCGCACACCACACGCTGGGTCTATTTTAGTCTTCATTGCCCCTATAGTTGAGATGTGGCCTTGACTGCCTCGGATTGTCAAAACGAAGGCTTAGAAATTCGATAGCTCACATCATGTTGGAAAAGGTATACCTAAAAGTACACTAAGAAAGGACTCAACAGATAAACAACCAGGGGACTCAGAACTCAGAACCAGACTCAAGAAAGAACAACAAATATATAAATATATTTTTTTTGCTACCCCCCCCAAATGTCTATCTTTTTATATAGTTAATTTGTTTCATTCCCAATTTAAGTTCGATTATTTCTATATTAATATTGGTTGGATTCTAGTTCAATGCATTTGTTAGTTTCAGCTATTTTAAACCTTATACAAATCAAATTGATTTGTTTACAGCTCTAGTTTAATTCGATTTTGATTTCCAATTTAGTTTTGATTGATTCTAATCTAATTTTAATTCGATTCTAGCTCAATGCCAATTTATTTCAATTTCAATGCAAATTGAATTCTCATTTAACTCTGACTTTATTCTAGACGGGCTTTGCTGGGGGTGTGATTTTAAGAAAACAACCTTTAAGAAAGCAACACATAATTGACATCCTGAATGCCCTAATTCTAATTCAATTCTAATTGAAATCAAATTGAAATCTATTTGAATCTACTGTAATTAATTGTTAATTCTATTTCAGTTATCATTCAATTCAATTTTAATGCTGAGTAACTTCCATATACCTTTTAAAATGGAATTCAATGCACACTTATTTCTAGTTGATGGTTACTTCTTTTCAGTTTAATTTCTATGCAGTTTATGTGTAAATCTAATAGAATTTCATTGTTCTAATCTAGTTATGTCTTTTATGCCCATCTAATTTGCTTCTAGAGAGTGCATCTTGCCTTTAAAATGAACGCTTTGTATATAATTTATGTGTTGCTTTCTTAAAGGTTGTCTTCTTAAAATCACACCCCCAGCAAAGCCCTCTCTCTAGAATAAAGTCAGAGTTAAATGAGAATTCAATTTGCATTGAAATTGAAATAAATTGGCATTGAACTAGAATCGAATTAAAATTAGATTAGAATCAATCAAAACTAAATTGAAAATCAAAATCGAATTAAACTAGAGTTGTAAACAAGTCAAAATTGAATTGTATAAGGTTTAAACTAGCTGAAGCCCAAAAATAATTACAAATAAATTGAAATGTAAACACAACTAAATTTGAATTAACATAAAATTAGATTAAAACTAACTATTTTGATTAAACTAAGATGTAACCTAAGTTTCTTCGTTTGAAAAAGAATAGGGTTAGAATTAAGATAGCAGAATTGCTTAACCTGCAGCTCGATTAGAATTCACTTAGTGTAATATTGAAATAGAATTAGACTTGAATTAGAATTAAAGTTAAAATAACATTTACAATAGAACTAGATTAGAATTGAATTCAAATTCAGTCGGAATTGAATTAAAATCAAATTGACGATTGAAACTAAACTTTGATGTTAAATCAATTCGATTCAAACTTGAATTCAATCAGGTTCAAATTCGAATTTTAAATTCTAAAAATTAGAAAACATAGAATTAAGTGTGACAAAAAATGGATTATTTAGAGTTCAATAGAATTCATCATAAAAAACAAAAACATTGGGTTTTTTGAAGGTTTATTGCTGCCAAAAACAAAAAATACACGTGCATTTTTTGAGTATTTGATGTTTGTTTTTACCATTGCAGACGTTTGCGTTCAGGAAGTTTATGAATGCTCCTTCCACACTGTACTCAGCACAAAATCCAGAAGTAGCGTTTGCACACGATTGCAAAACATTTGCAAACGAGAGGGAATTCAAGATTTAAGATTCAATATTCAAGGTTTAAGATTCAAGATTCAAGGCCTAGAAAGAAGTTCTGTAAATAAACAAAGAGGTAGACATTTGGGGGGGGTACCATATATTTATAATATATATATATAGAAACAACTGGACTGACCTACATAGAAGAAACAAGAAACAAAACTGCCAAGCACATGGGTGCGTTGGGTGGAGAAAAGGTGTGGGGGGGGCGAAAAGGTGCTTGGCCAGTGGAGTCCAGGCTTTGAATTTGTTTGCTGAGTCTGGTGGATTGAAATTTGATTATTAGTTCGAGTGTGGATGTGTTTTTTGCGTGTGTTGTAGAAGTTCTTTGTTTGATGTGTTTAAGGAGAACAATAGGGCAAATCGAAAGAAAGCATAAGAAAACAACTCAGGTGTGGACTCAGATTTTGATTAGGTGCCAAAACCTAACGCAGCCCAACCTCGCCTTTCCAAACCCATTGTGGCAAGAACCCACATCCCAGCTTTGGTTTGGGTTCTGTGAAAATGGGCATGAATTTGAGTTGTCCAGTGTCTTAATTGTGCTTAAATTAGTCTATGTTGGTCGGTTTTGAGTCTCACGTGTTTTGCGGTATTAGTAGCGTCCTTGCTCCTAGTAGCGATGCCAGGAGCCCCTAGTAGCGTCCTTGCTCCTATGTGTTTTATATGGGTTTATTGATGTTTGAATTTCGTGATGCATTCGGAATCGTACAGCTGCAAGTCTCGCAGCTGCTTTGGACCTTTGCAAGGTCTTTACATGTTGATCATCCAGTGGCTTTGTCAACCGATGAACCTACGCAGTCCTAGACCATCCTGTCGGGGGTGTCCAATGTCCAATCGTGGCAAACGCTTCCATCTCGTCCTTTGGTCCCAGAAACGCGGTCGTCCGTGCGTTGCGTGCCCTCTTCCACTGGCCCTGGCGTTTTCTGGGTCGGCTCGGGCTGGCGCTGGCGACCAGAACTCGAAACCTGACCCATTCAGCCCATGGCCTGGGCCCATGGCCCTGGCTGGGTAGACTGGTCCCATCCATCGACACACCCCCAAGCGTGTCTTGTTGGCACAGCCTGTCATGTCCAACCATCAGGGGTCTGTGAACAACGTGACTGGCTGGCTGGTCTAGGACTTGTCACAGGACTTCTTGTCCCCCTGATTGTCCGCATGGACCGGCAGGACAGCCTGAGTAAACACTTTAATCGAATCTGGTTTTGTAGTGTAAAATCCTTAGGAAAACAAGGGTTCTTCAGGATTCAGGCTATTAAACAAACGGTGGGCCACGACTTCCTGCCGGTCTGCGGTGCCTCATCCTGCCAGGCCATGCCGAGCCCTCGAGACCCACGGCTCTTGAGGAGCGACTTCTCCACGTGCTTGACACCAGAGGCGGGATCCGAAGATTTCGGCGGGATCGTTTGCCGGTGGAAGATGTTGGAAAGTCAACGACTCCCTGGCAAAGGTGGGCAAAACAAAATCCAAAACCTCCAGGGAACAAGAAATCACCGACAATGAACTACTGAACCTGGGGGTTTGGGTCTGGCTTTGGACTGGAATCGGCTATTTTGCGAATCAAGTTCCACCTCAACTACGCCCTATGTATTTTTGGGGTTGGGTCAAGTCTGAATGTGGAATCAAGAACTGTTGTATCAAGCCAAAACCCGGGACCTCTTGCTGAATCTCTTCCTGGTGGATGGGCAGCTCCCAACGACGAGAATCGGAAGGGTCCTCGTTGCTGGCTGAGCAGCGTCCCCGAGAGGCCGTGGACTCATCAGGCTCGCGTGGGGTTGAGGCAGTTGGGCGGCCACCCAGTTTCGGACTAGGGAGGCCATCGCTATCAAGGACGCTACTAGGGGCTCCTGGCCTTACTACTAGGAGCTATAGAAGCTACTAGGAGGCCATCGCTACTAGATTGGAGGCCATCGCTATTAGTTTGGGTTTCTTGACCAAGTTGTATTGATCCATTGGCTACACGCACGTGAGAGATTCACATGCACCCGATCAATGGATCTGGAGAGAAATCGGGAGGCAAACGATGTTCCATGGAACCTTGCGGGATTTAGGCCATGATCGTTTGGAGTGTGCTCAGGAGGGTTATGTGGTCCAAGCAACAAGAAGAGCGTCTATGGGAGTTAGACTAGAGGTGGTTGGGGGGCACGAGGGTTGGAGTGAATTGTGCCTGACTCTATTCCAACCTCTGCCAGGACCCAGGATATTGTTTGTCGCACAGATACTTTAAGCGACCCTGAGTAGCTGTAGCAACTCTCAACCTCAAACTTGCGTGTAGGTCATGCTGCACGGTGTTAGTCACCGTTTGTAAAAAATAAAAGGACCGGATAACCCCACATGATAAGTTTTACAAATTTCAATTGTATATGAACACACATGGGAGACGGAGTAGTGAGATGAAAAGTCAAGAACGAAGTGTGAGGAGAGAAGGTATATGAGGCGGTTTTGCTAAGACGTGTAGTATAAGTGATGATGTGATGGACGAGGATGAGAAGGAGGGGAGGGAGGAGGTGTGTGTGTGTGGTAAGATGGCGTGCGTGTGTGTGTGGATGTGGGTGTGTGATAAAGTGTCTGATGATGTGATGAACAAGGATGAGAGGGACGAGAGAGAGAGAGAGAGAAGGAGGCGGAGAGAGAAGTTTGGAGGCTCTGGATTTTGCGATCAGATCCGCATGAGACCTTCAAAACGTAACACACTCGAAACGACCATCAAAGCTGTCTAGTGGTCATATCCCGACCACGGCGGGCAGTGCTAGCAGGATGTAAAGTGGAGTGAGTGAGTGGAGTGAGTGAGTGAGTGGAGTGGAGTGTGGAGTGTGGAGTGTGGAGTGTGGAGTGTGGAGTGTGGA